GCCTCCGCCGCGCAGGGCGCCGGGCCCTGCTCCAGGGTGTCTCCCCGGCGCCCGCGGCCTCGGCGCCCCCTGGCTTCCCGGCGACGCCCCTCCGCCTCCCCAGCGCCCCGTCAGGGGCGGATTAGGAAGCCGGGGCGCGGGGTTCCCGGGGCGCAGGGTCAAGGTCACTCAGCGGGCGCGGGGAGACACCCTGGAGCAGGGCCCGGCGCCCTGCGCGGCGGAGGCGGCGGCCGCGGCTGGAGAACCGAAGTCGTCGGCTGACTGGTCACTCCCACCTTGCCCAGGTTGGCTTCCGGTGGCCGGTCCAGGTACCTCTTTCAGCCTCTGTCCCCGGGGATGTGAAGGAAGGCGGTGGCCTGCCCAAGGTCGCAGCAGATCCAGCTGGAGGCTCCAAGGCCCATCTTGCCTGGGCAGCCCTCCCTCTGATCCCCGACTCAGGCGTTTGCCACCCCCTTCCCCTACCATACCAGCCGTCCTACGGAATCAGGGAGCACACCTCTCATCCTGTCCAAAGCTGCGCGTCTTCGTTCGGTAGAGGGAGTGGTGCCCCGAGCCCTGTGCTGGGCCCTTGCTATGCTGGGCACTCCTGGGAGGGACACGAGCCAGGCAGGCCCCAACCCCAGGGAACCCCTGGCCTAGATGGAGAGATCCAGATGGAGATTGAGAAGCTTCGAGGTCCCAGCAAAGCCCACGGAGTCTTCCCCCAACCTCCTTGGGGCCCTGCTGGGCGCACAGCGGGCACTTGGTAAAGGATAAACTTGGCTGGGCAGGTCTAGCCCACAAGCCCATCAGACAGAGCTTCTCCTGGGCAGGCCAGGTCCACAGTGCCCAGCCCAAGGCCAATCCCAGAGGGGCCCCTGGTGCCCAGAATGCCTTGCCCGCGGTGTTGGTCGGAGGAGTGGGAGTGAGGAATGAGGCCACAGAAGCCCCCTTCGTCACACACTGCCTTTTGCCCTCTCGGGGGTACCTCCCTATCCCCCTCATCACCAGAAGGCCTGGGGGACATCCTGACACCCTGTTGTTGTACTGGCCTCGTTTTACAATGAGGGGAGGTGACCCGCTTAGGGACGTACAGCATGTGCCTGGCGCGGCTGGGACTGTCTCCATAGCCCCGGTTGAGCCCACTGGCCTACGGTCCTTCCATCCAACTGCAGTGGTGGTAAGGCGTGGCCTCAGTGGGTCTAGCTGGGGCAAACTGGTCAGGAGGGGCTGGCTGGGCTGTTGGTTTCTAGGGAGAATGCTTTCCAGACCCCCAAGTCCTGGGGCAGAGTGCCGGAAGCCTGTGTGCCCCAGGGCCTGGAGGAGCTGAGAGGCCTGGCGGGGAGGGAGTACCGGTGTGTGCTCACTACTGCCCTCTGCAGGCAGAATCCAGAGCAGCAATAATGCGAGTGGGGTGTTGCTGACGGATGCCCTCTTCCAACCTCTGGGCTGTTCTTCCCCGTCCAGAACAGCCAGTCTGCCCCCAACCTTGCCCAGGCAGACTGGGGGGCAGCGCGCCACAGCAGAAGGCCTTGGCCCGGCACGTCTAGGCCCTGCCCCGCTACGTGTGACTAGGGTATGACCCCTGGCTTCACATTCATTAACTGTATGTCCTAGGCCAAGGCGATTGCCCTCTCTGGGCCTCAGCTTCCTGATCTGTAATATGGAGCCAAGGTACTCCTTTCTCTGTGTGATGATTGGGAGGGCTGAATGACATGTGCCACAGGGGAGATGCTTAGTGCAGTGCCTGCTGGGTAGTAGGTACTCGGCAGGGAGTAGTTCTCAATTTTTTAATTTGTTGGCTTCTTCTAAGGGCAAAGCCCCACTCAGAGTCTTGCTGGACCGGGTCTTCCTGCGGAGGTGAGGATTCTAAGGACAAGGTCAGGGGCATTCCATTTTTGTCAAGTTCGGTTCCTTCCCTGGAGAAGGGCAGCAGGAGTTCCCTCAGCCGAGGGGAGTTTGGTTGAGAAGTCCTTGCTGGTGGCTGCTCCCCGCCTATAGGAGCCTCCACTGGCCTCACCCTCCCTCAGGCCTGGCTGCATCCCTGTCCTACACAGATGTGGAAACTGAGGCTGCTCTCACTGCCTTCCCCTTCATAACCTGGAAGTCACAGGACTCCTTCCATCACAAGGCCTCTTCCGTGCCTTCGTTCATCCCACCTTCCTGACAACCCTTCCAGCAGGTGGACCTGACAATCCCCATTTCACAGATGGGAACGTAAGATGCCAGGGCATCTGCGGAAGTGAGTGTGTACCTGTGCGTCCTGTCAGTTCAGGGGCTCCCCGGTAGGAGCTGGTCTCTCTCTCCTGGCCCAGTGCCTGTATCCCAGGGTCTCGGACCAGTAGACTGGCCAGAACTGCCCCCAGGGACTCAGTTCCCTGCTTCCCTGGGGTTTGGGCCCAGTCCTGGCTCCCTGACCTCCTGTGCGCATCATTTCCTTTCCCACGATCTCGGCCACGTCTCTTGGGTCCTTGCTCCTTAGAGGTAAGACTCCAGGGAGTCATAGAAGAGATAGAAGGACAGCCTCCTTACCCTGGGGCAAGCCTATGGGGAGGAGCCTAGGATATGCTACCCTAGACATGACCACAGGGGCCAAAGGTGAGGACAGTGAAATCAGCACCTTCATCTCACCGAGGGGGGAAGGGCTGACACAGCAGCCCAGCGGTCCAGGTCGGGGGTGGACCTCAGGGCTCCCGATCCCCAACCCGCCACTCCGTTTTGCCATCTCTGTGGGTTTCCTTGGATTTTCAGGAAATGATTTTAGCTGATAATTAGTATTCATCCTTTAAAAATAAGACTCGAACGGTTTCTGGAACCAGCTACGCCTCTTTCTCTTCAGAGCATACCTCCTGTTCCATCGTGGAAATCAAAGGGAAAATAAGATTCAGTGTATGGAATGTGCAGGACCCATAGAACCCGTAGCCCAGATGGTAAATGTTATCCCTACCGGCCAGGGTGCTCAGGTGATATGGGGGCCGCATGGCACCAAAGGGTAGCTGATGGGCTTGCTTGGGGACCTCCAAATCCTCCCCCCGCCTCCCAAGGCATTATAAGTAGTCTGGGGCAGCGCTGGCCAACAGAAATAGAACGCGAGCCACAAATGCACACCGCAGAGGAAATTTTAAATTTCCTCGTAGTTTGCAAAAATGAGAAAGGAACAGGTGAGATTAATTTTAATGATATACTTTATGTAACCTGACATATCCAAATTGTATTCGTTTGAGCACGTAATAATATTTTTAAAGACTGAGATGTTTTCTGTCCTTTCCCTCATACGAAGTCTTCGATACCCAATGTCTGTTGTAACACAGCACATCTCAGTTTGGACAAGATAGGCTTTCATATGTGGCTAGCGGCTAAGGGGTCACCTGGAAGCATCTTCGGCCTCAGCTCGCTGCTGATTTGCAAGATCCTGGGCCTCAGGTTCCTCGCCTCGTGTGCCTGTGAAAGGTGCAGGTCCGGGCCCTTCCAGGAGATGTGTTGGTTCGGACACTGGCCGGGTGGGAGAGAGGCCCGGGGACTTTGCACTGCAGAACAGGGTCCCTGGCTCTTGTGATACACGGTCAAGTTTAGGGAGCGCCGTTCAAGCTCTGGCGTCTCTGATTTAACCACACTCAGCCACGTAGTACTGGCTCACTGCCACGTCCCTTGTGCCACGGGGCCCTTGGTGCTGGCTCTCTGTCACAGGCCTGGCATCTGCCTGGATCAGACTGGCCCTGAGATGGGAGGACCTGGGTTGTATACCAATGCACCCTGTCTGTACTGGATATCGTGCAGACCCAGACCCTGAACCTGGGGGCTCTGGGCCGGCAGCTGTGGTGTGTGCAGCAATTAGCCAGAGGGGGCATCCACCTCAGTCTGAGGCCATGCCCCTGACCCCATGGGGAATAGGGAACCAAGCAGACGGCCCCCTCCGGCCCCCGTGCCAAAGGCCCACTGGGCCAGGGCCTCGGGGCTCGCTAAAATGTATCTCTCCCACCTCGGGATTTTCTGGGAACCCAGGGTCCTCACCCCCAGGAGAAGGGTCCCTCCTGGGCCCCCCCCCCACCAGCCTTCCAAAACCCTCTTCCTCCAAAAGAGGGGTCTGTCCAGGCCTTGGAGTCAGATTTTAGCTTTTGCGTCGTGGAAGGAAAGCTGGCCTTTGCACAGTGTCCTGAACCCAGTGCCCTGCCTGTCCCCCACGGGGCCAGCCCCTCTTCCGGTAGGTCTCAGCCTTCCTGACCTCACCGGCCAGGCTGCCCGCCTAAGTGCCCTCAGGCACTCTTGAGTCCTCGGCCTGGTTGATTTTACGCTGGGTGATGCTTATTTGCTCCCCGTTGGATTCACCCATTCAACCCAAAGCTCAGGTAAGGGAGGAGGTGGGACGGACACTGTCAAGCACCCTGGCCAGTGAGTGTACAAACGTCTGCGAAATGAATGAACGGATCGACACGGGCCTCCTCTGTCTACTGTCAGGTGCCTCGTTGATCTCTGTTTTCTCCCTGTATGTTTCTCTCCATCTGTTTGTTGCTGTCTTTGTAGGTCGCTCTCGTCAACACTACCCCTCGCTCTCTGCACCCCCCCTACCTCACGCCCCCTCTCTCTGCCTCCTCCTCCGACTCTCTCCGCTGGAATCTGTCAA